TCTCCTTCATTTTTTTTTCCAAGATCAGTAGATCTTGATCTAAAACAATGCAATCTAGAAGCTAAATCTAGATTTTTTATTAACTTAGAAATATGAGTTTGGACGGTGGAATGACTACTTGTTGTCCAACTTTTGATCTCTTCAAAATTGATTATGCTTTTGAATCGACTTGTACTTGGAAATAAGAAAGAAGGCCAAAAAGCTGGTAGTGAAGTTGAAGTGTAGAGAAATTCGGCCCATGTTCATTTTTATTAGGAAAAATTACTTAACTACACTCCTTTACTTACCTTAATATCCATTTATCTCTACTTATTTCAAAAATTTCAAAAATTCCTTATTTTACCTATGTATCCCGTGTACACGCTATGTATCCCGTTATGTGGAATGTATCAAACGCTATGTATTCCGTGCACAGCGCTATGTATCCCGTGCACAATGCTATGTATCCCGCTATATATGTGGAATGTATCAAACCTAATGTATCCCGTGCACAATGCTATGTATCCCGCTATGTGCAATGTATCAAATCTAATGTATCCCATGCACAACGCTATGTATCCCGCAAACATCATTTTTAAGGGATTTTTGGTAAATAATAAACTAGAAGGATAAGATGTTATTTAGTACTTATAATATAGAGCAACTTACAAAAATGACTATATTTATAGGGTTATTAAAGTTCAATAGCTATAAGTATGTTATTTACAATAAATGACTACATTTTATATCTTTTTTTCGCTGTATTTTTGTATACATTTTTTATTTTTCTATTTATACACTAATACATCTTTAAGTACAATAAACTAAATAAGGAATTGACTCTAAATATAACCCACTGTCCTTATTTACGTCCATACAATGAGCAATTTTCCATTATTAACATTAGAACTAATAATTACTTATTTGAAGACATACCCGATCATATTCCTATCAATTTAAATACTCCATTCTCTTGTTGTCTCAAAAGATGTGGTATTCATATGTCATAATAATGATTGAATAAAACTTAGAAAAACGTTAATTAAAAATTCAATGAAGGTAAAAACTAAAATACATTTAACTAAAAATACACAGGAATACATACCCATATATTTAGGATATACCTCTTGAGTAAATATACAATTATTGAATAAAAGTGATTTTATTTACATACAACTATTTTTTATTGGATTTAACTTTAAACATGAACATGTTATAACCAATGTGTGTATTTTAGGAGCCACAATAAATCCTATTATAAATTCATCCCGAACAAAGTTATGTTACTGATATTCCTTGATAAAAATGGCTAAAGAAGACGAAACCGTGTGAGCAATTACTATTTAGCAATACTAATATACATAAATATAGTTAATTAAGATACAACGAATATGCATACAAAAATATAGTTAAATATTAATATACATAAATATAGTTAAATAAGATACAACAAATATTCATACAAAAATATAGTTAAATACTAATATACATAAATACAGTTAAATAACATACCACAAATATGCATACAAAAATATAGTCAAATACTAATATACAAAAATATAGTTAAATAAGATACAAAGAATATGCATACAAAAATAAAGCCTATCAACGATTCTTAATTGCCTAGAAAGAAATTCACTTATTCGTTAATTAAAATACTTTAAGCCAAATTAATTAGGCATGAAAGAGAAAAAGTTGATGATGGTAAACATTGGGAAAAGATCAGTAAAACGTGCCTGCAATAATTAATTAGGCATTCAATAATCACTTTCATATTCTGTATTTATTTATATTAATGTATATAAAAACTTATTTATTTGTATATAATTAACTTTGCTATTTATTGTATAGTTATATCCATATATTATGAAAAAAATAAAATGTAGCTATTTTTCTTGAATATATAGGTATGTTTGCCATATTCTGTAGTTTTTCCTATATATGGTTCCTATAATTTATACTTTTTATTAGAAATTAGATCCATGTGCGGAGGCCCATGTTTCAAGTAGTGGGCTTATTCTCTACGACTAACTTCTATCCCTGGTGCATCACTTCTTTAGAAATAATTAAGAGCTCGTTATAATTAGGGAAACTAAGAAAATATCTTCATGAAAGCAAAATAATTATAAATATATACCCTTTTATATTTATATCCCACTAAATAAATTACACGGTATATCCTCCAACTAATTTCACTTAACTGATATTAAATCAATATCATATTATATAATCTTATAGTATTATTGACTAATGAGTAATTTCTGAACAAGAAAAAAAAATACCATAATGAATGGGGGTATGAGTTGTAATTTGTTTTAGAGAATGATTATTTCTTGAATTACTTTTGATTGAAGTATGAACATGTAATTATTTTGAATTTTATTTCCCATTTGTGTAGTTTTTCCTTAATTAAGTGCATTATTAAATCTTTTTTTGGAGTATGAGTGCCAATAAATAATTAATAATAGCTTAATTCTAACACATATGTACATAAAATATCTAATTTAACGAAATGATTATAAAAATTAATGTGCACCACAATTTTTATATGAAATTTGCCCCTGCATCAAACCATATCCTTGAATCCAATAATTATATTTCCTCCTTCTCAAACTATCTATCGTAATTTCTGAAAATAGTTGTCTCAAATTTTAGAAGTTTAAGACAAAACTAATTATTACTATTATATTTTGTTCTTAGTTCATAGTAATTATTCTTGAAGCCTACGAACACCTAAATGGAGAGTTTATATCTAGACATAAATGGAGGCAAAATAATAATCCATAAACAAACAAAAAAAATCTCATAACTAAAATTTTTAATAAGCATATAACATAAAAGCACGATAAATAATTTGAGACAAAATGTAACATAACTACGAAACTCATTTATGATCGAACGCCTCAAATCTTAATGACGGTGGAAACTCATTGGATGACGAGTTTGCTAATGCATTTTTATTTAACTATGTTCAAGATCTTCCAACAGAGACACTAAATAGTACATCCCCTGTTTTAGCATAATCACTGCCTTATTTTTAATTGTAATTATTTTTCTCTTCTGATTAAAGAGTTTTGATTATTAGTTATATATAAAGCGAAGAATATATTGATGATAACTTTACAAAAAGTTGAAGGGCGCCAACTGGTATAGCTACTAGATGTAGCGTTATGTATGAAATTAGTTAGACATAAGGGCCATAAAACAAATAATTTTAATTGTTTAAAGGAAATTCCAAAAGTACAAGTGATTATTTATTATTAGTATAAGGGAAATCATAGTAAACAGGCAATGCCACAAGACATGGAATCGTATTAAAAATACAACTTTATTAATTATATCCATTGATATAATTATGAGCCTGGAGAACATTGCATTATTTATCCATCACATGCATCTGTTTTCCCTACGATAATTCCCAAATATTCTCTTCCATTTTTATAATATGCTACGAAAGACTTCTTCACTCCAATTAAATACCAAAATATATACGTATATACATAGTTCCAAGTGGGGATGCAGTTCGTTGCATACCAAGTATTTATCTTTGTTATTAAAAGAGCTCTAACGTAACGTGAAATGAATGGACTCTATCTAATTTTATTTTTGTCATAAATACTTTATTTTAATTATCAATCATAAATATAGTTGAAAAACTATATCATCATGAATGGTTTCAACCTAATTATCTACAATTAGGCTCCTAGATCTACTTAATTGTTAGAATTGGAGTCATTAATACTTATCATACGAAAGGAAAAACTTGTTAAAAATATGTATGATTTTTTTTTTTTGAAGAAACATAACTTTATTGATAAATATGCATGTACAATTCCGTTCTTCCTTTGATTCTACTCTTCTAAGATTTATTCATGATTTGAGGGCCATTAGTGGCGTACTCGAACTAGAATGATTTAGATTTGATCTCTATGAATATTCCATAACTTTTGCGGAATATTCGAGATAACATGTATGATTTGAAGCACATGCATGTTTTTTATTTTTCTCCTCTTTGATCAGTGATGAAATTAATTCAGTTGTAATTACCAATTACCAAACTGATTTTTGGGTGGAAACTTAATAAAGTAAGCTAAAGATTACCAACTAATGACAGTGAAATTTAATGAAGTGGACGGACAATACAATGAAGCCTTACTCAATATGTTAGATTATGACATTATAACAACAACAATAACGTGAAATTTCATAAATGAGGTTAAAAGAGGATAATGTGTCGCAGTCTTACCCTCCATACAAATATAATAAAAAAAATTATTTTTGATAGATCCTCAATTTAAAGTAAAATATATCACAACATTTATGAAAAAATTAGAGATTACGACAATACACTTGATACATGAAGGTTACTAAGCCACCTAATTTACTACTAGTATAAAATTCTTTAAATTCAGACAAGTTTCTACAAATACAACAAAATGTCATATTTCAGCTCACAATAGTAAGGACCCATTCTGTATTTGATATTAGATAAATTAATCATGTAAATTATTTAATTCAGTGTCTAAATTATATTTTGAATCGCTAATTTTGGTATAATTTAATTTTTTTTTAACATACTGTAATATAAAACGAAATAATAATAATACATGAATTAATGGGAAGAGTGGTGCCAGTAACTAAATAAACAAACAGAAATGTGAAAGGACGTTTATGTCCCTCCTCCTCTGTCTTCCTTGTCGTCCTCCTGGTTTTTCTCATTCCTCTGTAAAAGTTTCTCTATCTATATATTTATAATCACTTTATCAAATCTTAACACCCATATATCTATCCATATATATCCAGGAAAAAAACAAAAAACAAAAAACAAAAAACAAAAAACAAAACAAAATAGTTGTGTATATATATATATAAATAAATAATAAGATCAGTTGGTAAACAGAGCAGGTTCGGAAGTGTGTTTGGATCCGACGTCGGAGCCCACACTTCCTCCTCCTATTCTCTGTATTCCTTCATTTTTGTTTTTTTCTTCTTCTTCATTTTCAACAGAAAGAGCCGAAGACGCCGTCTTCGTTCTTCCTTCACTATCCACCAGGTATGCCCCTTTTTTTTTTCTTCTTATTTGTTGACATTGTGGTTGAATCGCATCTCATGATTTCAAATGGGAGAGTATTATTTCGAATTTTTGCTTAATTATTGTTTTTAAGGCTACTGATTCATAAATTGTTGTCATTATGGTTCTTCGTTTTCATAATTGGTTCTTATTTTGGGATTTTCCTTTTTTACTTTCATTCATCTGAATTTCTACGGAAATACTTCTTTTTTCCTGCTATTAAGAACAATATTGTTTTTGTTTATTTGTCTGTTTGGGTGCGTTTTATCCATTACCTTTATGGATTTTGTCCTCTGCTTATTATGATGTGACCCATTTTGTTTTTTTTCAATTATAGCTGATCTGACATTTTAAAATTTGATTCAGTCTCGTAAAGTGAAAACAAACTCATCATGTTCATTCCATATCCTTTTGAAAAAGGCAAGGCAGCTTACAAAATTGATTTTTTTTTTTTTAAAAAAAAAAGTGGATGAAAAACAGCTTATCTTGTCATCGGAGTATTTGGGGTTCGTTTGGTAGCTACTAAAGAGATAAATTATTCATGTATTAGTTTCTGCATAAGTTATAATGTTATATAATGTTTAATAACTAATTAGAATGTAAGTTATGGAATAATATGCATTATTAATATCTGCATAATTCTAGTCAGCTAGCAAACGTCTTCACCTTTCAGTTAATGTCTCCCTTCTCTTTTTCTTTTTCTTCTTTTCCATCTGCAAATCACATGAAACAACTGAAGTGCAGCTTGTAGAATTTATATAGTTGTCTTTTGGGATTCAGTGCAAGAAGTTGTCTATTTCAGGTATTCAATAGATTTGTGAACTGCCAAATAAAGACTAATCTAATGTTGAGTAATTAAATGCTTCTATGCAGACAGGTGATGCTTAATTTTGGAACTTTTACTGAGTTCTGAGAGTAAGACTTAAACTTCTTCAGCTCACTCTTCTTAAACTAGTCATTTTACATATCTTGCTGTTAGTTCATGCGCATACCTTTTTCTACCTATGACCGATAATTATTTTCACTTACCGAAATTGGGGTTATGAGTACTATTAGCAACACGGTGATTGAGGCTTCATATATAACTGCCGCAAGTTGTGTGAGATTGAGGTCGTAGTTGTTGTCGTTGTTGTTAGTGTACCAGTACTATAACCAATCATTTCAATTTTTTTCTCTTATGCATGTGCCAGGTATCCTTATTTCTTGTGTTCCACCTGGAAGTGGCGTCTCGTATGGGATAGTATTGATTGGCAGAGAAATTTGTCACTTGAGTCAGAGGAATGGGTGCTTGTGTATCAACTCCAGCAATTCCTATCAAAATGAGGAAGAAATTTCCTGGTCGCCCTAGAAAGTACCATGGAAAGAACTCAAAATCTGCTTCGAAAATAAACAGTGATGCAGGATCACTGGTTACAGATATTGCTGTTAGTGAGTTTGTTCACAAAACCACAACCTGTAGAAGATCTGAGTGCTCCAATTCTAAAGTCCATGTAACTCAGATGCAGTGGCACCATAGTCAAATAGATGCAAATGGTATGTGATCTTTCTGTTTCTTATTTGAACCTTATCCATTGCATATACTTATGATTGATGACAAATCTATCAAATTAAACCATATTAACTGCTAGCTTTTATTTTGTTGATGGCCTTAAATATAGTTCATTGATCGATGGCTGTATTGCCTATATTGTGGTGATCTTCTGTTGACAAGAAGGACCATGTGATTGTTCATTTTTCTTCAAAGCATTTCGAAAGGAGTTTAGTTGGTTTGAGCAACTGACAAATCAGAATTATTTGACTACGACTTGCAATAATGAGCGGTTTACCTGCTTTGCAGTTCTTTGCCAGGAGGATGCATGGTTTGACACAGTCAGCATTTTTGAGTCTGACTCAGATGATGAATTCAGTAGTGTTCATGGAGGTAACTACTTTGGTTTCTTTATTTTTATACTTATAGAGAATGACTTGTTCAGTGTTTGGACTAAGAACACATCTTCTTCTTTATACAGTGCTTGATTATTAATAGATAATGTGATCATTAGCTAGTTTTTGTCCCTCTCATTTAGCTATTTGTTATTTATGGGACGGGGTTTTTCATCTTATCTTTTGGGGAAATTTCTGAATGATTAATATTCTTGGAATACTTTTTGCTTTGTGAACCTTAGCTAGATCTCCAAGGTTCTTATAGGTATTTAATTTAATCTATATCCTTTGCAACCTTATGTAGTTATGTGTTCACTCTCTCTATTACATATCATAGTCTTCTCTACGACAGCTAGTTACTTCCATGAGTTTCAGTGACAAGATCATTAATTAATGCATCAAATTCAGGTCGAGTTTCTCAAGTAAGGAAATCAACAATTATAAGGCTTTCTCTGAGAACATCTGTTGAAGAAGAAAAAAGTGGATTTCGTAAGTACCTTGTGACTTTCCATTTAGTCATTACTCTTCAGTATAAATTGAGTCCCATTTGAGAGGAATTTGCGTCATAACCTCCTGGTCATTTTGTAAACTAAGAACAATATTATCTTACTGACACATGACGTGACAGACTGACAATCCTGTCTCATTTCCTTCTTCTCATGTAATGTTAAGAAATGTGCAAAAACTAATGCAAAGGTAGCATTACAATACACTAACCATAATGGTACTCCTGTAGGTGCACCAAGAAAGTATCTTTTGCGTCCTAGGGCTGGGCTCATTGTTCCTCATTGTACAGAAGAAAAGCCAACAGTAGGAAGTTGGTCTGAGATTGAGCCCTCGACCTTTAAGCTACGTAGCAGTAGTTTTTTCATGTATGCTCTTAACTTGTGAATTAATCGGTCTTGTGTATCTTTCACAATTTAATTTATCCATTTGTTTCTTTGCATTGCAGAGATAAGAAAAAATCACCTGCTCCAAATGTGTCTCCTTATACTCCTATTGGAGTCGATTTATTTTTGTGCCCAAGAAAGATCCATCACATTGCTCAACATGTTGAACTTCCTTCTGTAAAAGGAGATGGAAAATTACCTCCTCTACTAATTGTCAACATTCAGGTATGACTGACTCCCCAACAAAGGAAATAAAAGATATTTTAGTTTTCTATACTAATGAAATAAAGTTGCTCTTCTCTACAGTTACCTACTTATCCTGCTCAAATGTTTATTGGTGATGCTGATGGGGAAAGCTTGAGCCTTGTAGTATATTTTAAGCTTTCTGAAACTACAGAGAAAGACGTCTCTCCTCAGTTCCTGGAAAGCATCAAGGTAGGTTGTGTCGGACTTTTTCAATAATAGTTTATCTATATCATACTTAATTATAATTAGTGCCAGTAAAATGAGCTCATATTTTGGTAATCCGCTCATATTTTAATGGGTTGTGTGAGTGACTTTTTATATGGGTAGATACTCATATTCAACCCATAAAAATATGGATTCACTAAAAATGTTGTAACTTCTCTTCCTTTTTATGTTCTTCTATAGAACTAATTATTTTTCTCTATAATTGAAAATGTGAAGTCTTTGGCCCTCCAAAAATATATATTTTAAATGTACATTTCTTTTGTTAATTATTTTTTTATTTGTTTAATTTTATATTGAATAATAAATAATAGTGTAAAATAAGCAAATCATGTGAGTATTGACATTGCTTAAAGTGCATTAAGCATGTTTTAGTCCTAAAATGCAAATATTCATTTACTTTGAAATTAAAAATATTTTCCCCTTATTATTAAATAAATTTAATTTATATTGAAAAGTTATAGGATTTTTTTTTTTTTTTACTTTTATGATACAATAAAACTAAATTAAGCATTTTCAACATTTTTCATCTAAAAAAAGACTAAAATATTTTCTCCATGTTGAATTCTTAAGTAGAGTACTATTTACCATGAAAATATAGGTAAACTAGTATTTTATCCAATCCATTTATTACCCAATTCATTTTTACCCATATCAAATATGGACGGGTTGAATTATTATCCATTTTCAACCGGCCCAAATTTGACCCAACCCGCCCATTTGCCACCACTAAATTTATAACTTAATTATAAGAACTTATACATATTCTCTTATTCTCCTTATCCCTGAAAATTCAACAAGTTTTTCGATTTGGGGTGTTCTTTATCTGGCATTTGATTTGTTAGACAAGAGAGCTAAACATATTTTCACAATGAAAGTGTTTCCATCTAGTCTGGCATTGATAGGATAAGCGCCTTATAGTGTATTTTCCCCTTTCTTGACATAGCTGGAAATCTAAGTCTTGCTTGATCGAGATGACAACACTCACGTACGTTGGGATGATTTTTCAGTTCACGTCCATGTCTCCATAGTTTTTTCCCCTGCTCCTGGGGCAGGGGTTACTTCCACATGCAAAACATTAGTCTTGGGATTTCCTTATATCAAACTTTTGCTGACATGGCTTCTTTTTTTTTCCTTATGAAAATGTGGTGATCCTCTAAGTCGTCGTTTACTTTTTAGTAGAAATGGTTATGGCGGATAGGGAGAAATCACTGGAACTTGTTTCCCAATTTGATTTTCTTTCTGTTGGCTTATGTGACAGAAACTTATTGATGATGATATGGAGAAGGTTAAAGGATTTGCAAAAGATTCAATAGTTCCTTTCAGAGAGAGGTTGAAAATAATGGTTGGGGCAGTTAATCCAGAAGATCTTGTTTCCAGTTCAACTGAAAGGAAGCTTTTGAATAGTTACAACGAGAAACCTGTGCTTTCCCGCCCTCAACACAGCTTTTATGAGGTGTATATATATATATATTCAGTGATGATCTTCTACTTACTGCTCTATGGCATTGGTTATAATAGCCAGTTTGGCAATGTGTTCGCTGTTCTTGAACATCAAAACGAATTCTATTTACCCATTCTCTGTTACTTACAGGGCTCAAATTACTTTGAGATTGATCTTGACATTCATTGCTTCAGCTACATAGCAAGAAGGGGACTTGATGCATTCAGAGATCGTTTACAGCATGGCATATTGGATCTTGGTTTAACAATTCAGGTTTCTTGTTATTATACTTTTCCCTTCTTGAGAATTAGAAAAATGAGCTGATGCTTTGGATTTATAAATGATGTGCACAAATGTAAGTTATATATACTGATAACGTAAAAATAACTCTAATTCCTGCAGGCACAAAAGCCGGAGGAGCTACCCGAGCAAGTGCTTGCTTGTGTGAGAATGAACAAGATTGATTTTGTTGACAATGGACAAATTCCAACTCTTATGAGCATTGAGGAAGATGAATGTTCATACTAATTTATACAAAATCAGTGATACATTAGCATGTTGCATGGGGGAGTTTTCAAATGGTCCCTTGATGATCAAGCCATTCCAACTTTCTATACAAGCAAAAAAAAAACAAAAAAAATTGTATAATAAGAAATTGTATTCTGAAAGATGAAATTAAAAAAAGGTGATCATGTTGATACTGTTACTTTGTGTAAGGTTCACCATTTTTTAACTAATCACACCCTTAACATAGTTTAAGTTTAGTAATAAAAAAAAAACCACTATCACTTATCATTTACTTTAAGATATTGTATATATTTTGACAAGGCAATTGAGTGTTTTTAAATTCAAGTATATTTGCTTGGGTGCATATCAAGAGACTTGACAATTCGTTACATCTTTTTGAATTCAAGTCTACTTGCAAGAAAAATAACTGTCTGGCGTGAAGAGATTGTTTGTACCATGTGAAAAGATTATATTAAAGCATAGTTAGGTTACTATTATTGTTCACTAATTGATCTTTATAAAATTTATGTGTATTTGAAAGTTTCTAATCACAAACATTTAATTATAAAATGAATTTGGAGTATGTGATTAATTAATGCGGTGCCTTAGGATATTTCAATATCTTGTTTATGACTATATATGATCTGCTCATTTGGTAAGATTGTATAAGAATTGAGCCATAATTCAAAGAGTTCTTATGCCTTATACCTACAAATAAAACAAAATTATTATATGTTAATTACATTATAGCTTTAGGCCACCAATTTTGTTGAGTGGCACCTGAGGTAAGTATGAAGGTTCATGATTCTTTTTCATGTTTGAATTTCATCATTGTAATTTGAAAAGATAGTTTTGAGTTCTGATATATAAAACACTGAAAATATTTGAATTTCCAGTTTGCCGCCTAAATAATAATGAGACTGAGACATTTCTTAACTCTTATTTATTCAAATATAAAAAGGTTTCCCTATCATATTCCATAGTTTGATTTCACCAAGTGTTGTAACACACTACGAAGATAACTGAATGAAATACCAGACATGATTTTCTTTCTTATTAGATCAGTTTTTTAGTCTTTATGGAGCTCACTCGAATTTAGTTTGAAATTAAGGCGTAATTGCTTAACATGAAGTGTCACGTTTAATCATGCCTTTTATTTTCTAATTGAACGCTGTTCATTTTTTTGTTGAAGTATATACACAGGGTAAATAGCAGAAATAGTAAAGAAAGCTCTGTAATAAATCATACCCTCTATGCCCATGATATATATATACAAAAATAATGTGAAAGCTGTATAAGAAATGAGCTAAACGTGTAAAATACAAACTAAAAAAAGTGAAAAGCAAATAAAAAGAAAAAAGAGATTGTAAAATCAAGTTTGGATAGCAAAAGGAGAGCATTTTAATGTCCTCCAACCTGTTAATGAAATTTGCAAACCACTTTGAGCATCAATATTCTGGCTTATCCCTTTTGATTTCTATGATGTGAACTTGCATTCTTATGCATGATTTCTTCACCAGCTTCCTGAAGATCTGTAAGAACATTCACTACAAGGATCGATACGAAACCTCAAGAATGTTGCAAGTAAAAACAAGCTGCATCGCTCCCTAGACTTTCGATGAACTTTGAGGTACCAATAAGAGAGACACAAAGTCCTCCTCTTAGCCATTCAAATTATAAATCTGCATGCAAAAGATAAAAAAAAACTTGGTAAAAGTTTGTAAAATAGCAATATTTGACTAAAGTAGGTGAGTCAAATATGTCTAGTTGATGTAAAGGAAAATATGGCAAGATTTATTTCACCTCCATAGAATCGGGACCTACGACCAGCTTTTCGAGCTTGACTATCCTTCTTCGAGTTAAACGTCTGGGACTGAGATAACAAGGGCCCTGAGAACCCAACCCTTCCTTGTTGGCCATCGTAATCCTGGTCATATTTCAGAGAGATCATATACCATAACACCATGATGTAAATGATTACCAGATGTTTTCTCCCCAAGTCATATTTTTACGCTTCAATCCCTAGCTAATTAGGTTCGGCTATATGAAACATCACCATGCATTATTGCTCTATTTTTGACAAATTTCATTTACACAATACTTTGGGGCTCTCTAACACTAGATGTTCTCTATATATTTTCTACTGACAAGCAAATCTCTGAACATACAAAAAAAAAGTTCAAGCACACACGGAACTACATGAAAGTATATATAGTGTATACCAATATGTGATCAAACTTCAATCTCAACAAGATGATATCAACTATATTGGTATTTTGCTTCCTTTGTGTTATTTTTCATTCAGTCTACATGAATTTTGATAGATTATATGAGTCTTCTAAAACAATCTCATTCCGGGTGACTTAAGGTCTATCTCATCTAACTTTGAACACTTCCAATTATCATGGTATCACACTTCTGGATCAATACAGTTAGATATCCATGAAGGACATGACCAAACCATCTCAGATGACCTTCTCATTTTATTCTTCAGATGGATCATTTCTGGCACATCCATCTTTAACATTCACATTTTTACAACACTCATCTAGTGATTTCGTCTATGTAAAGCACAATTACCACTAGGCTTCATTGTATCATACATGAAATTTGCTAAAACTTTTTCTCCCCCCAAACTGTAATGTAATTAAACCTTAATGAGAGACCAAAGAATCAAATACAAAAATATTTTAGTCAGCAACAGCAATTGGAAGCAGCTAAGTTAGTGGAAGATTACTAACCGCTGATAGTTCCTGATCAGACAAGTCAAATGAATCTGGGCGTTCATGATGACCATGTTTCCTATGGATAGAATGCTGGAAAGTGTGGGTCCTTCTTAAAAACTCATCATTATCTTGCATATTTGATTCCAAGGTATTCCCAGAGTGGAGTACACCAGAAGGATCGCAGGCACTCAACTTTTGACTTCTTGAATTGGGAGGTGGATATAATCTTGTGGCTGCAGAATCCTGCTTTCCTTTTTTGGCCCATGCAAAACCACTCGATTCTGGCATTTGCACAGGAACAGAAAGAACGGTGCTGTCTCCTAGAGACTCATCAGTCATCTGAGAAGCAGCGTCTGATACTGTATCATACAACGGTTTCATTGATATCCGTGAGACAGTAGCTCGTCTTCCTTTAGATATATGTGCATTACTACCGTAATTTCTATGAGAACCATGAACATTTGCCTCAACTTCCTTCAAAAATGCAAGACAAACCTTCTTAATATACTATCAAAAGAGGAAATGTGAATGAATATACGTGTCTGTGAGATAAGACAGAAACCTCTGTTGGAACAACTTTGCAGAAATTGCTTGGTTCTTGAAGACCTTTCCGGGCTTTTCTTGAATTTCTTGAAGTTTCCGATGTTTGCACTGTGGAACTGGCTCTCTTTCTGAAAATGCGAGGCTCAAATTAAGTTTTAAAGAGGAATAAGAGAGATGCAAAGTCACGAAAGGTGCATGGTTATTAGAAACAGAGATGTATGAGATGTATAAATTTAATTCGTTGGAGCCAACTCACTTGAAGCCTGATAATGATGTGTTTGGGTAGGTTATCTAGATAACTATGAGGTGCAGCATTGAACTAATGTTCAAAGCAATGAATGACGGTGAAATGCATATATTGTTTTACTGGCCCATATATGGACTAGGCAATGATTTAATGGAACCATGTGCAGTAAAATCCTTTCCATGAAGAAGAAGAAGAAGAAGAAAGGAATTCACCTTCTCGCTTCTTCCCTGAACTTTGCATCAATTTCCTTGTTCGGTGGGTACTTAGGCAGGCTTGATGAGTCACAAGCATAAGGCTTGGTATTGAAATACTAAAGAAAGGTACAGCACAAATTTGAACCAAAAAGTTAGCAATAAGAGAAACCAGGTTAAAGAACTATTATGCTTAAGAACAAATGAACAAAACATAAACATCATCAATACCAAAGAGGAACCAAAAACTAAAAGCAAAATAAAAAGAATGAGGTGACTCTGTTACGGAAATTTTCCAGTGAGATAAAAACTCATACACTGCTGTCTTTGTTAAGCTTACCTCAGAATTGAGAGCAGATGAAGCAGTTCCACGTTTATGAGGATCTATTGAAATAAGTGTTTCAATAAGGTTAACAGCAGTTTTTGGTAATTCTTTACATCTATCTCGAAGTGTACTGTCATATGGTTGCTTGGGCTTAAACATGGCAGCAAGTGGAAGTTTAGACCTTTTCCAGTAATCTTCAGGTGGAGAACCACAAAGTTTGAAAATTTTGTGCAATTGCTCAACCTGCAGAATAGACAAAATCAGAATCTTTTCACAATTGACAAGAAACAGTGATATTACTAAGCATTCGATATAGGAGAACGATTTAATCACTTCATAATATTTTGAGAGGCTTCAGTCGTGTTAATTTAGCACTATTTAGCAATCATGTCCCATTCTTGCAACATGCTCACAGATATGTGTAATAAATATAATCAAATTCAATAGAAGTTCTTTGGGAAATACTGACCTCGGTCCTCCCTTTCAGGAGTGGCCTTCCGAAAAAGAGTTCTGCAAAAACGCAACCAACACTCCACAAATCCACAGTGTCCCCATAACTTGTTGATCCTAATAGAAGCTCAGGAGGTCGATACCATAATGTAACCACACGACTGGTTAGTGGTTGCTTGTGCCTAGCACTAAGGAAATTCGCAAGACCAAAATCTGCTATTTTCAGAGTGCCTTCATTGTTAACCAAAATGTTGGAAACTTTTATATCCCGATGCATTATCCCTCGTGAATGGCAGTGCTCTAGTCCTCTCAGTAGCTGCTGCATGTAGCATTTAATCTACTTCCATACAAAAAGAAAATTCAATAAACAAAGAGAATCTTCTCCCATTTACATTTTGCAAGACTTTATAGATTCAAACAGTGATCTTAACACCAAACTCAATGAAAGAAAGACTGTCAAAGATGAGCCAACCTGTGAATCACTAAATTTGATGTCAGGACATGATAATAATCCAGATAGGTCATGTTCCATATACTCGAAAACAAGGTAAATGCTACATGATAACCGAGAAGTGATTATCCCTTCCAGCTTCATAATGTTTGGATGGTCAAGTTTGCGGAGAATTGCAATTTCTCGTGCCATAAATCTGACACTATCTGGTTGGAAATTATCAAATCGCACCTTCTTTAGGGCAACCATTTTACCATTTCCGATATCACGTGCTCGGTAAACACTGCTATATGTACCTTGTCCAATCTACAGATGTTGAAAGAAGAAAGAATCTTCGTAAGAAGAAAATAATTTACATTAGTAGGGCGATAATGTACCACTAAAATTACCAGACAAAGCTAAGTATTAAACTAAGAA